ATATATATATATATATATATATATATATATATATATATATATATATATATATATATATATATTTTATTTATTTTAAAACGACTTTTGATAGTGATAACAGTGATTTGGAATGTATGATTTTGAAAGTTTTAAAATTTAAAGTTTATATTTCATTATGAAATCATACATAACATATAAGAAATTAAAGGGGAAAAAAAAATGGAAGAAGAAGGAGGGAAAATGGATGATGTGAACTTTCAAGATAGGTCTCGTTCATTTTTGATGGTGCAATCAATGGTAGTAATACGATGCGTTGTCGGGGAGTATTATTTGCTGAGTAGTTCTCAACCTGTTACGTAAGCACCGATTCGGTTAACCGTAAGCTTTTTGATAACATGATGGTCGGTACTGTTCATATCTTTCTTTTCACCACCACATATTCTTTCGTAACCATTGATTCAAATTCAATGATGGAATTATTCTTCCTACTCTAAACAACTATACGATAACCCAATACATTCTTTTTCATTCTTCATTCCATTTCTTGTCTTCTTTATTAGGAATAATTCTATTTGTATAATTGATTTTTCGAGTTACAATTTCTATTTAAGTCAATTAGCATAAGTTTTTCTGGAATTTAATGGTTGATTTAAAATAATTTTCAAAACAATTAAAATATGAATAAAACATAAATTTTGAAGTTCTTATTTCGTGGTTTTCTATTGCTGAAATTCCATATCTTTTGTTGCAATGTATCGTTATTCTGTTTATGTAATTGTCGAATTTTTGAAGCTGCTTAATTAATTAATTTCCATCATCTCGTTATCGTTAACAGAAGTAAACAATAATTGAAAAAGAGAACTAATGGTTATTGTTTTTTAATTTTTCAGAACTTAATTGTAGTAAATTTTTCTTTGCTATATTTTTTACTGTCTTTAATTTTTCTTTTTTTCCACTGAAATTCAGCTGATTATCGTTTACTGACATTTTATTTGTAACTTTTAAAGTCATTTTCTACTTAAATTTCAGAAGATGCAGCTTTATAGTAATACAATGAATTCATCGATAGACTTACATTCATCGTCTGATATTATGGATTTCAGGCAAGTAACATATCTGTTTTTGAATTCCTCAAATTATTTGTCCAAGTTGAAAAAAAAAACTTTTGCTAACAGGTTCGAAAATCAAATGTTTGCATTGTTTGGAAAAATAAAATGCTAAATTTAAATGCTAAAATTTCAAATTATAAGGGAAAATCTCAATGCTTCATAAATAATTTTGTTAAAGTTGTGAATTTGAATCCTTCCATGAAATTCTTGATTCCAATCAATTTTTTGTTCATCAAGAATTGAACTTCATAGGAATATTTCAGAATATTGAAAAATTATAAACACTGCATTTAGGCATAATGGAATGGAATTGGAAAACTAGTTATTATTTTTTTTTTGTTACGTGTTATAATTCTAATTTTTTAAATTTTAAACCAGGCTGTGGTAGAATTTTTCACAAACTTTGGGATTCTAAAAAATAAAAGAATAATTTTTTGATCATGACTCTATTATTTTTAAAACATTGTAATAAGCGTTAATCGTTTCAGTAATCCAACAATGAATAAAAAGAAAAACGACGAAAAAGCTAAAAAAATCGATTTTATGGCAGTAAGTTTATCAAAATTGATTTCGATTTCTTTGATTACTTCGTATATCTAATTTAACTGAATAAGATGAACAGCAAGCAATTGTTGTATCCCAAAAATGTTCTACTTTGAATTTTCTCCAATTTAAAATTTCCATTAAATTTCCGACCATAACAAGTTATTAAGCAGCTTTCGAATTTCTAACAACAAAATTTTACTGCTATGTTGAAATATAAAAAGGTGGATAGGAATCTTCTTTCAATAACTAACTGCTTACATCATTAGGTATTTAGATCTGATCTGCCATATAATGCTAAGGACATTATAGCATTGAGAAGAGTGAATCCGTCATCTTTTGAGGTTTATGGATTTCTGAAGAATGAACAAATCAGCAGGTCACTTCAAGTTGCAAATAATCCTATCAAGTAGTATAAGCAACATTCAATTGACTTTTAAAAAATTCCTTCAAGGGATCAACATCTTTTCGTAACTGTTAACTTTATCCGTCGCCAAAACGATCATTGGTATTGTTCTTGAATAGCTTTCAAGTGTTAAACGAAGTTTTGTGAGCTATTCAAAGAAGTCAGATCAGTTATGTTATATGAGATACATATATATCTCATATACTCAGATGCATTTCGTGATTGTAAACAAGTGCAAATAATTTTTTTTGAAATGCAAAAAGTATATGATAAATTAATAAAAATTGGATGTTTGGTTTAACAATTTTAATTGTTTATTGTAGTTTGAACAGAAAGAATTACGACGAATTCGTAACAATGATGCCGCTCGAAAATCACGTCAAGCACGTCGTGATAAAGAAGCTAAAAATCGTATACGTATGGCTGCTCTTGAACAGGAGAATGGTGCATTACGGGCGCAAATTGATGTATTGAAAAAAGAATTGGAACATGTGCATCTAGTGATTTTGGCAACAAATGTTACATGGAAGACATTACTACGAAATCAATTTTAGACAAAAATTTCAATGGTATCATATTCTTTCTGTTATAACCTGGAAAAAAAAGTATAATTTAATAGGTAATATTTAAATTTGATTGCAAAGATGTGGAATTAAATTATCAAAAATAAATTCTAATGAGTTATGAGTTATGAAATTATGAGCTAATGAGTTATGGGTTATTAAAAAAACTTCTAATGAGGTATAAATTTTAATGAGTCAATTGAAACATTAAATGAATCACTAAAACAACGATGTATAATGCAATAGTTGATTTAATCCAATTTTAATAGGTCAAGGTTCACTGTTCCTGCATATCAGTTATATCAAGTATGCAATAATTAGAAGTTGTGGCATGCAAAAATTCTTCATCCTCATCGAAATTGCGTATTTATTTAATCTTGTCATATTCTCTCTCAAAATTTTGCACTTTTTGTATTAGATATATGAAAAAACTTGAAGGAGTATGAGAAGATTAACTTATCAAAATGATAATGTGAAATTTCAATTTCAAATTTAGTTTATTTTAAAAACATATTTATAGCATGTAGAAGAAATATAACGATAAAAGGAATTATTTGAGCATTTTATATAATTTTGGAGACAAAAAAAAAACAAACATTTGCTTTTTTATTTTCTTTTGCAAAATTTCATCAGTTTAAATAACATGAATTATTGCAAATTTTTTCCAACTAGCAGAAACAAAAAAAAAAAAAAAATGGTCCCTAGTACTATTCTCAATTATATTTAGTAGATTTCAACATTTTTAGTTAGAATTAGTTTTTAAATAATTACTTAATACTACAAATGCTTATTTGCAAGCACCGATTTAATAATTTTTTTTTTGTTTTAAACTTATCAAATTCATTAGAATTTGAAATAAATTGCGAGTCATTATTCCCTCCCTCACTATTCACATCAAGGATAGCTAATGAGCCTACTGCTACAATAGGAACCAATACTTCATTGGTTGTATTTGCTCCCTAAAATGTGCTCTCCCTGACTTGAAGAATCGTTAGTTTTATAAAAGAAGTAAAATATATTCGAATATTATCAAAGTATTCTGCTTTTTACCTTACATATAAATTCACTTATTCATGTAAAATTAATAGTTTAGACCTTTCTAAAGTTTATATATATATATATATATATATATATATGATGATTTGAAGGCTTGATAATTCGAACAGATTATAAATAACTTGCCTCATAATGGAGAAGAGTGACCAGCTAGTGACCGGTAGCATTAATTACTATTGTGTCGGTTATCGAATGTCATGGTATTTTATCGGCGGTCATTATTGCACAATATCATACCAACTATAACACACACACACACATATACATACACACACATACACACACATTAATTGCCCGAATTTGAAAGTTTCGGCTACTGTGGCTTGAAGTAAAGTTTTGGAACGTCCTGCAATTATGTGGGACAAGAAGTGTGGTATGATCGATAGAAGCGGTGCAGTGAAGGGAATCTGTGTATGCTTTCCTTTTGCACATTTGCGAACCGTTAATTGTTGAATGCACAATAACCATATGAGAATGGTGAAGGTAGGGAATGTAACTCTCCCAAATAACCCAAGGGAAAAAAAGCAACAGAACTTATTGGTTAGTTTTCAAGGCTCGGACTCGAGTGTTCGGATTCCGATGTCACACTCCCACCGTCTAGGGTTCCTGCCCACTTCGCATGTTGCGTCGTGGTTTCGCAATCCGGAAATATTCCGCAGGTTCCTGCCTGTGGTTTCTTGGGTTGGGAGACAATTATTGGAACGTCCCGCAATTCTGTGGGACAATAAGTGCAACATTAAATGTGTACCATCGTATTTGTCGCCGATTTCCCTCAACCGTGACAGGAACTGAGGGCTCTTTCTTTTTGAAATTTTACGCTTGTGAAAGTATTAAAGCGATAAAATGATGAGAATTTAGTGTATGGATTGTTTTTGCACGCATGGGAACCGATGATTATTGAATGCACGACAATGATATGAAAATGATGAAGGCAGACTCGATGGTTTAATTGTCCGAGTTTGAGGTAATTGAATGTGTCGCCCCAGAGTTTGGGCTTTTGTGGGTGGGGGTAGAGTTTTGGAGCGTCTCTGCAGGCCTGTGAGAGGACAAATGTGGTACAGTCGATATAAGCAACTCAGCGACGACGATTCGGCGTGTCCTTTCATATCGCATTTAGTGCCTGCGTTTGCCGCATTTATCATATCCCGTGATATACTGCTGGACATAAGGTCGACAATGTGTGCTATGATTAATTATGATTTTAAATCTGACAGGATATTTTTGAGTAATTAGAGACAATATAAATGAAAAAAAGTGTGTACATTCATGCACAACTCAAACATAGAAATGATAATTCCTTTATGCTATTCAATTATCATAAATTTTTTTGCATGCTATATATCATTATCCATAACGAATACTATGGTCAAAGTGATCTTACATTTGGCAAAATGTTTTTTGAGTAATTCGAAGCAATAAAATTGAAAAAAGAAGGGTAGCGATATTGGTAATGATATGTGCACTGATATTTAACTTAAATAAAAAATTGACAATTATTTGGTATATCAGTAGTAGCATAGACATAACTGCAATTAATTCAAGTTAACTAATTGATCATATTATCATCGAAATTGCAACCAAATGTGTACATTTTTATCAGCTGTATTGTTTTTAATTACTAAAAAGATGCATCGCCAGATAAAAGATCATATGTGAACAATATAATTATTAAAAAGTACTCATTATGATGCAGCTCAAATGATAATATGCTAATTCATTCATCTTATTTAATAATTAAGAATTTATTTGGTGGACTGGAAATGAGTTCTAGTTTGAAATATAACTATAAATTGTAACTAAGATTAACTAATTTTAATCTGACTAAATTTAATAAATTTTAGTTTTTCTTTGAGGAAATTTGTTCCTTCAGTGCAGTCTATCTTAAAAGATTGATATGTCTACTAAAAGATATCCGATATAGAGAAACTTCCTAAGAACCATGTTTACATTTTAAAGATATCCGATGTAGAGAAACTTCCTAAGAACCATGTTTACATTTTTTTTTAGCAATCAATTTGTTTTGATTAATATTGTTGTTAATTAGATAATTGTCGATAATTAGATTGCTTGATCGTAATGATTTACAATCATTTCAACATTTTCACTTTATATTTGTTTTAATGCAACATTTCATTTATTACCTGTCAAGGTTATTTCTTTTTTTCCTTTCATACTTCTCTGTATTTGCAGAATATTTATTGCAATTCTCAAATGTCATACTTATTAAAATTATGAATAATTAGTAATATATATGGAACTTAGGCTAAAATCGATGTAATTCAATGAAGCATTCAAAATAAATTTTGTAAATTCTTTTTACTTTAATTTCAATGTCTGTTCATGCCTGTAAAATGAGCAAAAGAATTTATACAAACAAATTTTGTTCACTTATGATTTTATATCTACCAATACTTTTTTCAATTGTTAGAAAAGTATAATTAACAAAAATGTATGCATTTTGATGCAATTTAGATATTGAATCTAAAGCAAATAATGATATGATATTGATATGATAATTCATTGCTAATATAAACAAATTAATATTGATTGAATAAGATCAATGAATTGTATTTTAACACCTGATTTGCATCTTAATATGCGCGTTTTAATCAAATATATTGTCTCCAGTCTTGAAAAAGTGTTGCTGGAATTTAAATTTATTTCTAATTGATAATGGCCGTAATTAAAATTCATTCCTAATGCAAAAATAAATTCATAAAGATTAAATCTGAATTTTAAAAAAGCTCTTAAAAAGGATAATTTCAGAAGTGAATTCTCACTATTTTTTTCACTGTAAAGCGGAAGCTAAGGGATTGAAAAAAATTTTTCACGTATATGGAATAATTCGTCTCAATGATAATCCGAATGAATGCAAATGCATATGCTAACATAATGAATACTTTTAAAATACGACTTGAAGCAATTCTTCATTTTTTTTTTTCTCCGCGAAATTGCATTTACTTCAAATTTATTTTTGTTTCATAAGATCGTTAAAGAATATTCTCTTCTTACTGATGGCGTTATCATAATACATCTCTTGGCTTTATTTTTTTTTTTTTTTTTTATTTTTAATACTTAACAAATATCTGATAAAATATCAGCTGCTTTTAATTCAATGAAAGTATCATTCAGTTTTCTTTGATATAATATGAAAAGGTATAAACAAACAACTTAGGGCAGTGAAATACTCATTCAATAATTAAAAGAATAAATTATATACAATGAAAGAATGAAATAGGATATACTCATCAGTTTAATTACCCAATTTGAGGTGAATGAATGTTTAAAAGCCTTATTGGCTTGAAATAAAATTTTGGAACGTCTTATGCATTAGTAGGACAACAAAAAATTATCATACAACAGTAAATATTGAGAATATAGTGATATGTAGGGAAGTATTTTATAAAAAAACAACATCTAATATTGCTTAACTTAACAGATCGAACAAAAAATTCATACATTCAACGTGACAACGTGACATGATTATAAACATTATCAAGCATAATAACATACTACCAAATTTCTATCAATGCTTAATTTACAATACTTCTATCCGTTTTTGTCCTATCAATTTAAAAACTTCCACAATTTCACTTTAAATCTTTCATTGTTTTTTCCAAATTCTTATAGCGATTTTTCAGGATATAGGCTGCCATTTTAGGTTGTCGATTACGTGTTAACACTCCTTTGTGATTGCCCACCGCTCGTATTACAGCTGTAATGATAGCTTTTGTTAGATTCTAAATTTTTTTTTTTTATTTTGTTTCTATTTTTCTATGGTATTAAATTGTATTTTATTCTC